CTTCCTTGGGCAGGCAGGCAGGTATCCAGGTAAAGTTAATCCAGAGCTTCAGACCTTGGTCAGGCTTTCTGTGAGTAGAGAAGATAGAGGCAGGTTAGAATTCAGTTTCTCTCAAGAGTCTCCTGAAATCCACTAGATAAACAGAGGCTAGGGTTTGCTAACCAAACTTGGTCAACACTCCGGCATTGAAGGAAGGTCTGACTGCTGCTTATGAAGGAAGGTCTCCTGATGGGCTGATGAGCTTCAGGTGTGCTGGAGGCTCCAGCCCAGGAGACCCACAGCGCTCTCTGTTGGAGACAGATGGTAGCTCTCCAGATCCCAACAGTAACCCCAGTCCTAACAGAAAACAACATAAAACAGAAGAGGATCATTGGCGCCCTCTGGTGGGCAAGCCTAAGGATCCCAACACAAATATTAAAAACAGATTATTGCACAGGGTATTAAATGGTAATTGCACAAGTTATTGCCGTTGTAGTGTCGCATTATGGGGTCTGATGACAGCAGGGATGAATGACCTGCGGTAAAAATTCCTTTCTAAAAATGAATTCCGAAAAGGATGAACTCTAATTTAAGATATCAATAATATAGTTACTGCTTGTCATAATGAAAATTTTAGATATCAAAAAAATATATCATGCTAGATATCCAGAAATCCAATAATTGAGATCAAAAGTACACACTGAATAAGATTAGTTGTAATTAAAATATGATGGCTAGTAACAATTTGTTTACAGAGATCTGGCATTCATTTTTAGGCATCCAGAATGTTTTTTTTTTTTTTTTTTGATAGTAGTAATGTAATTTCGGATATCTGAAAGTGACGCCCCAATACACATGCAATGTTGCTGTTTTTCATTAAAAACCTGTACAGTACACTTGCATTTATTTACAGTGACTTACGTCAACCTACTTAACTCACCTTTACCTTCAAACATCTTGATATGATATATAAACTTGATATATAAAGCTTAGGAAAAAAATGTATGCAAGAGTTTTACATTCTCCAAAAGTCGACCGAATTCCCTCGACGAGATCTCTTATGCTCCACCCGGGGTGACCTCATCTCCAGCACTGAATGCTTATTGGCTGAAAAATCTTTATGTGGTAAATGATCAAAGACAGGAGACCACAAATCACTGAATGTGATTTATAGCTGCCTGTTCTGCAGGGTACTTTGTTGTTGTATCTGTTGTAATAAAAAAAAGATAATGTATATAGAAAAGTGTTCAATTATTGTTTATGGTCAGGAAGATCAGCTCTGTGATTGGCTGCCCTCTGGAATCAGTGCAGGAGGTGGAAAACAAAAGGATCCTAACTAAATGAACATCTCTGTTGTATAATGCCCCCCCCCCATGCATTAAGCTGGTGCTGAACTGGACAGCTCCTTCAGTGACAGACTGCTGCACCCTAAATGCACCAGGGAACGTTATCACAGATTCTTCCTCCCAGCAGCTGGAAGACTCTAGAACCACCACTGTTCCCAGTAACCTCCATAAGTTTTTACATTCATGCTAATTTTGTACAGTTTCAACCTTAGTCAGTTAAATAACCTGCTGCTGTCATTTTGCACGTCTCTGATGTTGCTGCTATTTTCAAATATCCATTACTGTAAAAATGTCCATAGCTGCATATTGGTTATTTATTCTCCAGGTACACGGTATTTATATTGTTAAAACACTTTACAGTACAGTATTCTTTTATTTATATTTTAACTCTTATTATGTTATTGTTTTACATTTTTCTAAGGTCCAAATTTGTGAAACCATTTTTTCTATAACCCTTTTGCTAAATCCTTTTTTAAACACCAGAATTTCACCATTGTGGGATAATATAGGGATTTTCTATTTTATTCTATTCTATTCTATTCTATTCTATTCTATTCTATT